ATTCAGAAAATAAGCATTTACGCATTGTTGTCGAATTATAAAACCCATTTTGCATTTCAAACATGCTTTGAATATTTAACCCTCATAAATGAAAGCAAAAAAAGAAAGCACAAAGATTAAACTTTAAAAAACCTTTTTAAGAAAAAAGTAAACATTATAGAATCTAAAAAGCTTGAATATACAATATATGAAAAACTTATGGATATCAAAGGAGAATGCATTATGCATATTGATCTTAAAATAGCCATAAAATGATTAATGAATTAGAAAAAATGATATTGATGAATTTTTTTGCAAGTACATTAACACTTGAAATCATAAAGTTCTGTGAAAAAGAGACAGCTATTTATATGTTTATTATAAAAAAGTGACATAATAAACAATTTATTTATCTATTGATGCAACTGTCACTGAGCTTGAAAAGAGAATTTAAAAAAATGATAAAAGTTAATACAATAAAAAGTCATAAATTGAACATTATAAAACTCTTTGGGTGTTGTTTATATCTTCAGAAATTTCAGTAATTCTCACTGGTGTATATTGTTTTAGGTGCTCAATTGTTCTTGAAATTCTAATAATCTTCCAAAACAAAATAAATAGCTTCGAAGTATTGATCATTTATTCAAAAAATAGTAGATGATATTAAATATTTTGAGTGAGCAAAAAAGCTTTCAAAAACTTGAAGAGGATGTAATAAGAGCACATTTATTGGTAGCATTGATTCAAGCTTAAAGCTTTATACATATATTAAGAAAAATTTAAATATTCAAATTTGAATGTCAGTTGTGAATTTATCTTGAATTAACAATTTGAATAAATAATTTGAATAAATAATTTGAAACTTCGATTATTTTTCATATTCTGTAAATCTCATATATTAAAATCAGATTAAAATTTAAGAACCAATTATGTACAGTACATGATTTTGATGGCAATACTAGGTGGATTACAATAGGTCGGTTCATGGGTTGATTCACAGGTAGATCTGCAGATTAATCTATCTAAGCCTACCCGGGTAAACTTGTAGATCTACCTGTCCAAGCCTACTCGGGTAAACACAATCACAACTTGGATACCCGACTCACCCAGGTTCAATCACTAGTTCAAATAGACTTATATATTTGATATTAACTAAATTACTATCATAGATTAGATTTTAGAGATCAGAAAGATTTTATCCTCTTTCTATTATTTAGAAATTTTGTTAGTGATAATACATTTGTTAAATAAAGATGTAATATCCTGAAGAAAAGATAAGCCTGTGTGTTTAAGCATCTCATAACTGATATCTAATGGGCCACAGGCTTTGTTATTTGATAGTTGTGCAAGGGTAGATGATACCTCCTCAATTAAAAACTTAAGAAGTATACTTTGATACCAGTCTGAGTTAATATGATCTAGAGGTTGATATTCATTTTGCCAAGTTTAATTATAAATAGTTTGATTAATAGTCTGAAGGCCAGTCCATTGGTCAAAGTATTTCTGAATATGTGATTTAATATTATATGTGTTAGTAATGATATTGTTATCTAATTTGATATTGTCAAACTTGATAGGATCTTTATGTCAATTAAATATACTATTAATCATAAGATTTTGGATTTGTGTGAACTCTACAATTTTTATTAAAAGCCCAAGAGTGATTTACTTTATAAAAAAAAAAGTTTTAAATAGAAACACTCTACATTTGGGCCTATAGCAAAATTTACTTATAAAAATTTGCAAATCTTCTTTGATTGATTAGCAAATCACCAATTAAATAATCTATAATCTGAGGTTTATTCTTGTAAAAATTTGTAAACCAGCTTTGGCCAGTAATACTTCTAGTGATTATCCAATATAAATAAATAAAAATAAAAGCAAAACCTTACTTAAAAAAAACAAAGGTGTTCTTTTTTTTTGGCAGCACTTATTTGTAATTATATTCAGAATTTGAAGTCAAAAGAAACCTATCTATTCAAAAAAGAAATTTATAAACTTGTACTACTATAAATATAATATAAATTTAAGATAAAAATAACATAAATTTAGTAATCTAACATATTATATTTATAGTATATACCAAAAGAATCATATCAATTATAAATTAATAATGTAGACTTTTATTAAAAATAATATGAAATAGTATAAATCTCATATTATACATAATTAAAAATAGATTTAAATGCAATTTTTTTATTCACTTTATTTGTTCTGTTTTTTTTCAAACCAAAAATATATTAATTAAAATTTTATTATTAAATGACAAATTTAATACAAAATTTAAAATAAAATATAAATCAAAAATAAAAATTCTATAATTTTAATCAAACTTATTAGAATTAATACTATAAAATTAATTTTACAGATTAAATATAAAAAAATGTATATAATTTTTATTATTATATTACTTTGCTAAGATGAGCTTTAGTCATCAAATAAAAAAACAATTTATTAAAAAGTATATTAACTAGTAGCTTTTAAAAAAATACAATCGATGAGTTTTATAATTGATCAATCTTTGAGTTCAAATGTGATAAAGTAAAAGTTAGTAGTAATAAAAAATTTTATTAGAATCAATGTTTTGTTTTAATTTTACTCCGCAGTATATTTTCTTACCATTCTCTGAAGACCAAGGTAAGATCTATTCATGATTTTAAATTATTGCTACATAATTCATATTACTATTTGCCTATGTAGGCCTGTTTGGCTAATATACAGAAATGCAAATTTTTTCTACGAATATTTTTTACTTGGATTAATAATGACCGAAACATGTTTTATTAAACTTTATAAGAGTGGTAGATAAAGATTTTATTGCATCAACAATAACAAATATAAAAAGCAGACAAATATTCACGTCAAAATATTAGTATAGATTTTTAATAAGTCATATTTAGGTAAATGAATCACAAATCAAAATACGGTCTCAATTTGGATATAAATACAACTTGTGTTTGGTAAAGAAGAAATTCGGGGAATTGTATCAGATTTAGAGCATAATGTAACGTATGTAACACGCGTTACGTAACGGACGAACTTTACGTACGTACGTACGTACGTAACGTTCAAGATACCGAAAATGTGGGATTTACTTATTTATGCCAGTAATACAACACAAAAAAGGAAATTTGATTTTGTAAATAAACAAAGAGCATAAAAACACAAATTTAGGGTTAGAACGTTAACATTAGAAGCTATATCTATAAACTATTGCCTATTAAACACTAGTTTTTGAGTATTTTCGCTTTTTCCTCTTTCGCACGTGTTCGGGATTCATGTCGGGCTGATCCGGAACGATCAAAATTTGAACTCACTGATTGGCTATTTCCTTTTTAGGAGTTTGTATTACTGGCATAAATAAGTAAAGCCAAAAATGTGTACGTTCTGCCAAAAATAGGTCATAGCTAAAAATCAGTATAAGAAACCACCTTTTGTACTCTAACAAAAAGTTTTCGTTGGACAATTTTACTATATAAACTACCCTCTCTAGATTCTAACTTTGACTTAACCCTAACCTTAACGAATTTTAAGAATTTTGTCTGCGCCGCCAACCTTGCACACATTTTCGGTATGCGTTATGCGGTTCTACTAAAAATTCCCGACATTCCAAAAATCTCAAAACCATAATCCCGACATGACAGACTTTAAATTTTAATTGTCACATCGCGTGATGTCAGTATTATGGCACGTCGAGATTTTGGATGTCGGGCTTTTGTGGTAGAACCGCGTTATGCGCATCATAGAGATTTCCTTTTTGGTTAAAATAGGCCATGTGGAGATACAAAGAAATTTTTTTTTTTTTGAATATTAATGGTGAGATACAAAGAAATTTAGAATGGTTCACAAACAAATTCTTATGTAAAATGAACATACAGACAGAGAAATCAGAGCAATGGTACACTAATATCTGTGTTAACAAATCTAGAATTCAGATTGGTTATTTTATAATGTTGAATCTATAAAATAACCACTATATAAATATTAAATCCTTCGAACCTTTAATGGATATTATCCTCCCAGTTACAATGTTTTTAACTTTAGTCCACTATTTCATTCTTTTTCTTTTGCTTAATTCTTGTTTGGTATCTATTTTTTGGTTGCTGGACAACTACAGCTACATATTATATAACAAAATTAAGGCTTTCTATTCAATTAGCATCATTTCAATTAGCATCATTATAGTGTTAATTGTGACATATAAATACACTCCTTTATCTTTTCTTTATGAATGGATTGCATTTACTTTTTATCAACAAATATCTTTTTATTTTCACTGTTTAATTTTTGCATTAGCCTTAATTCTTTATACCTTTTTTGAGATTTTAATTCTTCATCCTAAACCAACGTATTATGCATTGTTGGATTATAGCCAAAATATCATTTCCTTCCTTAAATTTTTATGTGCTCATTTTGTAATCGAAGGAATGTTATATGATGAATTCCATTTTATAATCAGATTTCTGTGCCTAGTTTTATGTGCTAAACTGATTAATCAATCTATTCTCCAGTTGGCCGTTTGTTCGTGTCTAATTTCATTGACAGTTTTATTGGTAGTTAGTCATGAAAATTATTTAACAGACTCAGAATTTCTTTATAAATGGATATTTTCATCAATTCATGAAGAATTTGCCAAAGAATTATTGTTTGGACCTATTTCTTTCGTTATCTATTATAGACCATTCAAATATACACCAAGTTTTTATTTCAAAACCTTCTTCATTTTGATATTTTTAGCATACATTATTCTAAAATTTATTGATTTATCGACTATTTACAAATACTTCCTATTTCCTGCTTTTTCAAGGCTCTTAAAATATTTTTTTATATGTCACGTTATAGAAATCATATACAAGAAGGCAAAAGAAAAACAAATTATAAATCAAAATTTAGAAGACTCAAACCAGGAAAGATATGTTACTTTAGATTATACTGACTGCATAAAAATTGTGAAGATGCCCTTTTCGATACTTTTAAGAATTATATGGAGAATGCGGTGTAATATGTCAACCATAATATGTATGCGAAATGAACAATTTGCAAATAAGACTTTTATTTCGGAAGAACATCTGGAGCAAGTCTGGAATACGTTATTAAGCACGCGTTATGAGGAACTAGAGTTCAGTTTTAAAAATATTGCATTCTTTCTAAAAAATCCATTTTATCCAGCCTTTTTTTATCCAAACTATTGTGAATTTAAAGAATCTTTTGCCATGCAACGAAATTTACCAGAAAATCATAATGGCACACTTTCGGATCTTCTAGATAAACATTATTCGGATTTCCTAAAGGAGCCTTTGCGTGAGGCCTCGTTTAATGGTATTCGAATGTCAATGTATGGAAAATGTAAAACATGCAAACGATTCAATACATCACAAACTTGGTGTCAAATATGTGATCCTATATTAGAAACTCAAGGATGGTCAAGTTATAATAAAGATGTTAACGACCTCATCAAAGCATTTCAATTAAAAACAACTAATTATAAAGATGTTATTGAATGGATTCCATTCGATAGGCTAAGCAACATAGAAAAGATTGGCCAAGGAGGATTTGGTGAAGTGTTTTCGGCAATCTGGTTAGACGGTATACGAAGGATTGCCACTCGAAATGATGATAATATAATCAATACTTTAAAAAGTTTGCTCACTGGTGACTTACTTGTAAGAAAACGTAAAAAATCATGCAAAGTTGCACTCAAGTCATTGCCTAGTGGTTCTAATACTTTGAAATGTTTAGAGGAATTTAAAAATCATATGGAATGCAGATTGAATGGCATTGGGCTTCAAGTATATGGATTGACCAAGAATCCCTATACAGATCAATATTTTATGGTCATACAATTTGCCAATAGCGGAGATCTTCTTAAATTTATAAAAAATAATTTCGGAAAATTAACATGGCAAAAGAAATTAAAACTCCTTGCATACTTATCATATGACTTATCTAAAATCCATGAAGCAGGGTATATTCACAAAGATTTTCATAGTGGAAATATTTTGATACATTATGTTTGTGATGAGATATATTCTTATATTTCAGATCTGGGATTATCTGAAAGAAGTGATGAGCTATACTCTAATGAAATTCGAGGGAATTTGCCCTATGTAGCACCTGAATTGTTGAACGATCGTAAACCCACAAAACCCACGCAAGCTGTTGATATTTATGGATTCGGCGTTATTATGACTGTAATGTCAACTGGGAAAAGGCCTTTTGATGATATTCAAGATTATGATCTTCTGTTGAAGATTCTTGGTGGATCACGTCCCCGATTTGCACCCAAAACTCCCGGATGTTATATTGAATTAGCTAAGCAATGCATGGTTTCAGATCCATTGAAACGACCCAATTCCAAAAATATTAGTCTAGAACTTTTTAAATGGTATCGTATTATGTCAGAATCTCCAAAGTCTGATGAAGAGCATAAAATCAAACTGCAATTCTTAGAGAGTGATGAAGTTAACAAATCTGACAAAGTTGACAACTTTGAAGAAGCTAACACAAGTTCTATTAGTTATGATTCATTGGTCTTATTTAACAATTGGACCAATTGGTTATTGGACAAAATGTACTAGTACAAATAAGTCCAATTGTACAATTACGCAATTGGGCTTGGTCCAATTCCAAAAAGAATTTAGTACGATGCGCATATGTATACTAGCCAATAAAAATTTTGTGGCACATAATACAAAGTCATATATGTAGCACATGCAACGTGTATATATCAGTATATAGTACTGTATTCGAATAGTTAAAGAATATTTTTCATCTTGTTATATATAAATAAGTTACTGTACTATTTGTAAGATGAAAGAAGTGAAATTTTCAACCTAGTAAAGATACATATACAAACGTTTTCAATATACCAGTGCTATTATATAAAATTATAATAATAATTATATCAAACAACTTTATTTTCTATAACAAAGCTAAACGTAGATATAATTATTGTGGCGGATCATAATGAAATCCAGATCAAAATGAAATTATAATATAAAATCTTGAAAAATATTTTTTTTTTGGGTGCATTTTTTAGGAATAGGGGTTAGGGTTAGGGTTAGTTTTAAAGTAAAGTTATAATAAACAAGTATAAGTAGGTTTTAGAAGGTTAATACGCTCCAGACACTTAATTTCTACGCATTAGGTGATACAAAAATTATGTTTTTGATGCGTTTCGACCATCAAACGTTTCTTTTTGATGCATTAACGTAATTATTATAATTAACATATCAATAAC